ATACATATATATATAAACAACAGCAACAATTAGGCTGTTTAGGTTAGCCTCAGGGTCGTTTAGCAACAATAGAGGTAATCTATCAGGCTCATGCTAAGAGGCCAGTTGTTTTCATTTCCATTTGAATGGCTACTAAAATGTACTCCTTTGCTCATTTATAGGTCATTTGCATTCTCATCAGTATTAAATGGGGATAACAAAGGATTTTATAGGAAATGTCGTGTAGATGGGGGTGTAATTACAGGTACAGTAAAATCATTATTGGAGAAAGAAAGCAATGAAATTTGAGCTTATCCAAACCATAATCATAACCATAGTTTTACTGCATAAAATTAAGCAAACAGTGACAGAAAATAAAAGTGGGAAGGCAAAACTACAACTTAAGTGTAAACCTGGACTGAGACTCAAACATTCTGGGTAAAAAGTCTGAGTTGAGCCTCTGCTTATACTCTGAGTGGATTACAAACAAGTAGAACAGGCCATCGTATCACTAACAGCCCATGTCCACAACAAAGTCCGCTGCCTGGAATGCATGTTGGTGCACTGTAATGTTATTGGACAAATCTGCACAGTCACAGACGCCTAGCAGGCATATAGACATCCCCACGAGCCTCGTGCTCACCGTCTAATGACGAAATTGACATCACTTGAAAGTAAACTCAAAGCCAAATTCCACTGCCTTCCCTCCAGTTATTTAAAAGAGACTTTTGTTATTCTTTTAAACTGCAACACACTGATCAGCCACAATATTAAAAGCACCCACCCAAAGCTATGATTATTACAGATCTATTGCTTATTGCTTGTGCATAACCATAACCATTCAATGCTCGCACTTTAGGCATGCTTGACTCGCTGCAGCCTTGTGTGGAGGTGTCACAACAGGAAACAAAGCAATTCTGAATGTTTCTTCATGGCTTTCTGCAGAATGTTTCATCTTTCCCAATTAGAAAAGAAAACGATCTCCCTCAGCACGATCTGGGAATCCTTATGCTCCCGCAGAGACCAACTTTCTTACAGGCTCTTGCCTCCAGCTTGCTTGCTCCAGTAGACATGGCATCAGAAGGACAGGCAGTGAACATATCCTGCCTATAATATGACAGGGCAGCCAATCCTTTGGGTCCTTGAGTTGTGGGGCTTCCAGGCTGGCACATCCCATGATGTGGTGGTGTAGAGTGTAGAGGACCTACAGACTACAGAATCCTAGATTAAAACCACAAAGAAGAAGAAGAAGTGGCAAAAAACAAACAAACAAGGAGCACAGGCTGGTAAAATAACAGACAATGCACTAAAGATGGAGGCAGGACTGTATTAATACATCTATACTGTTAGATTGGAAGCAGAAGCTGAATGAAACACAAGTAAAAGTGATGAAGATATTCAGACAGAGAGAAGTTAAATCTCAAAGCAAGGAGACACTAAAACAGTGGTTCTTAACCTGGGTTTGATCGAACCCTTGGGGTTCAGTGAGTCATTCTCAGGGGTTCGGCAGAGCCTCCGCCATGACATGCATGGCTCATTTTGTGCACCAGTAAAAAACATATCTATGTCTTGAATTTGAAAAAAAAAATCGCATTTTATTTTTCACTAAAAAGGGGTTCAGTGAATGCGCATATGAAACTGGTGGGGTTCGGTACCTCCAACAAGGTTAAGAACCACTGCACTAAAACAAAATGTAATTAAAAACAAATACGATGATTTGCAAATCTCATAAACACATTTGATTAATTTTTCTGAAAATACATTTTCAGAAAAATTGTACATATCAATTGTACAGTTTTCTGAAAAACAGAAGGTCATTTTGAACAGCTGCTAGACGTAAATGGTCTTTGGCACAGAGAACACGGCAGTGTTTGTTAGCATCCAATATTGATTTTCAGCCTTGTCCCTTACACACAGAGATTTCTTCATATTCTCTCTGGATGACTGTGACAAAGTGGAGGAGCAGTTCTAATGGTCTCCATTTGTCCCATATGTGTTTACCTTTTCTTTGCACATTATACACATTATTCTGTTTCTATGTATTTGCTATGATTTGCTATTTGTCATGTAACATTGCTTCACTCACTATCCCGGGTTTGTTTGTGTAAGCGTTCTGTTGCCGGCAAATCA